ACATACAGATATGAAACTTCCAACATTCATATCTATGTAAAATTCATTAAAAACGGAAAAACATGTACAGATTGCAGTTCTTGATAACAATCTTACTAATATTATAAATGAGAAATATCAGATGGATGCATATTTATTAGAGCTTGTAGCTCAAACTGCTGAACGGATCTGAGTGAAATTTGGCATAGATGTAGAGGATAGTCTGGATGAACACATAGGCTACATTAATTTATTTTATTTTTTTTAATTCCACGAGAACTTAGCCGCGGCAAAAGCTATTATATCATATATCACAGACCTTTCCACACACAGCAATGGCGTTGTTGAGCTGATAGTATACACAGAGCGATGTCCAAATTGTTGCCTACCACTGCGTCCTTGAGACGAGCTGAAGATCTTCTTGTATTACGAACTTGAGAGAAATACCCAGCCTGGAAGAAACAAGGATACATATATAAAATAACTTCAATTAAATTGATCATCTATGACCCAAAATATTAAACTTTCTTACCTCCCCTTTCAAGAGTTCACCTCCAGCCATAGCATCTAGTTGGTCAGGAGTCATCTCCTCAGCGGCTTCAATGCCAGCCATCTTTTGTACAATTTCTTTCAAAATCAATAAATCTTGACTGTGAACAGACAAATATAAAACAAAGACAATTATTATCACTATCAAGGATTATACAATAAGTCGGAAATATAAACCTAAACTTAGAATATTATTAAGAGGGAAAATTTGTATTTTTTGTATGTAACAAATAAACACAAAAAGTACTAAGCCCATTAAAAAAAATCAGTAAGTAACATAGGCTATTTTCATAACTACTTTTTCGCGCAGACAAAAACGCGAGTAAAAGTTCTTATAAAGTAAAACAAATGCCGATGACAGTAATAGGTTCCATGGTTTTTAACATACACTTACATCAGTTTTAACAAAAATAAGAGGGATAGCAATTTGTTTTAAGCTGATAGACTCAAAAGAATAAATATAACCTGTAATTAGTGAAATTATTTAAATAGGATAGCCGACAAACATATTAATAATACTCATACTAATATAAATGCGAAAGTTTAGGTGGATGGATAGATGGATGTTTGTTAGAGTTTGTAGCCTTAACGGCTGAACGGATTTCAATGAAATCTGGTGTAGATATAAGGTTAGCCAGGAAGAACACGGAGGTTACACACTTTTGTTTTTTTAATTCCACACGGACGGAATCGCGGGCGAAAGCTAGTATACATATACATAGTATAGATATACATACCTTTGTTGTGCTTTTAGTCTGTTGGCAACAAACTGCAGTAGAGCGGTCAGTTCAATGTTATGTTTCTTGAAGGCTGCCCCGGCGAAGGCTGCGAGCGCTTGCAGCCAGGGCGGGTGCGCCGCGCCGCCGCCGCCCTTGCCCGCGCACAGCGCCTCCAGCAGGCAGTAGCCCAGCACGTCAAGGGATAATGACGTCAAATACTTCAATGATTCCACTACTGGACCAATCAGATTGTCGTATGTTTGAATCTGAAAATTATAATATTTCTTATACATATTTCAGGTAAAAACATAGTTACTTGGCATTAGTCAAATAACGGTATTCGAACCCACTATCGCAAGAACAGTATTAAAAATACACAAACATGCAAATATCCCATTTAAGGTAGTTTACTTATCTATAAATAATATAAAGAAGACAAAATTTTATTTTGGCATGTATTGGTAAAACTCAAAAAGTACTGGGTCCATTTCAAAAATTCTATCACCATCACAAAGCTAGCATTGTACAGCTTGAATCGCTGAGTAACAATAGGCTACATTTTTAAACTTTACGTAAAGGAAGTCGCGAGCAACTGTATGTAATCTTACAAGATAGAATATTTTTCTTTGATTCTTCTTTGTATAAAACGGCAAACAAGCAAATGTCTACCATAATTCGCCATATTAGCAAAGCGTCAGCGCTCTTAAAAATCCACATTCGCCTTCAAACACATTTTTTTCCATATTCATCAACCATCTCACAATTATAGCTAGATAAATAGAGTAGACAAGCTATAGTGTTGTATAGAAACTAGAAATTACAATTATAAATACCTGCAGAAGCATATAATCGAAGAGGAAAGCCGGTGCAGCATGAGACAGTTTGCCAATCAAACGTCCCTGAGGTTTTATATTCTCCTTCGACACACGCTTCATGATATGCTTGATTCTTTGCAAGGAATTACCTCGAACACGCATCAGAGCTGGTATTTTTTCACCAGACTCGTTTTTCCAGCGAGAGTATAAACAATACCTTGAAAATAATTGAATTTTAACACAAATGATAAGAAAACTTTACACAATATTTTTTTTTTTGTCTTAAGTTTATATAAAAATATTCCTAGAACACATGGGAAATAAAATTAATAAAGGTAACCCTGATATTGTTGCACACATATGCATATTCAACATTTTTATAAGTTTATAACAAATTTGTTGGATTATAATTTACCTGCATTGATATGGATAAAGCTTCAATAAAGTATACACTTCTTCGGCCATACAACAATTTCCCTCCATAAGTGTGAGAGCTGGAAGAATTGCTGCATCCAGTACAGTGATAGCTTCATAATGCAACGGATCTTCGAGCAATGAACGAGACGTTCGTAGTATACGAATTATCTGAACAATAAGCGTATATTAAAACTTACAAATCACATAGATATATTTAAAAACAATCAATTGTATAGTTTTCTTAACATACTTTGTACATTAAAACAGGATCGTGATGTAAAGACGACCCCAATATTATCAAAGCTGGGATGACGGTCTCCTTCATATCTAGGAAGGTTTTACAAGCTCTAGGAGCGAGATTAGATTTCAATGGTGGTACTGGTATTCCTATTATTTTTGGTGCTACACGGCAATGTCTGGAAACAAAAAATAAGTTTAAAAAAAACACAGAAGTCACAAACTTTGAAGTGTTAATATATTAATTTCCACCTGCCTTTATAGAAACTTAACTTCCTTTCACATAACTTCATACAATTAACTACATGGAGAAGATTTTAAAGTGTAGCAGGATTCAAATTGAGGGAACTAGACATCTATGACATTAGGCCGCCAAGATATTTGAAAGGTAACAATAGTAATATTAAAGATTTTTAACTTACGTTCGATAGAGTGGCTCTATGAGTGCATGTAACATAGCACATAGAGCCAGTGCGGGCCGAGGTGCCATACCAGTAGTGGGCAGCCGCGCCGACAGTGCGGAGAACTCGCGCCACGCGTTCACCTTGAGCAACGCCTCGCATAACACTAACTTCTGATTACTCCAGTATTCCTGTTAAAAACACCTTATTGAACAATACCAGATATATAAATCTGCTGTTTTTTTTACTTAAAATCATCTTATACAATCATATTGTACACTAGCTTTTGCTCGCGACTTCTTGCAGCATTAAAAGATATACCAATAAGTTAATAAGTATACCATCTGTTACCAAACATCTAGTAGTTTTTAAATTTAATGATACATATAAAAATACAAATCTTTCCTCTTTATAATATTAGTATAGACAACAAAATGTATGAATGCACATTTCAAAAGAAAATACATTGTTATCCAGATAAGAATATTCAAGTTAATATAGTTGTGATTATATTACAATCTTAATCAATATCTATTATAATTTGTTGTGAATATTAGCTTACCTGAGGATCTGCCTTCTCTTCAATAAAATCAGTGGATCCATTAGCTTGTGGTCCTTTTGTTGATACAATACTCAGTTTACGAATGTAGTCCTGTACTGACTTCACCTCCTTTTCAGCTTCTTTAGCCATTATTATATCGTCGGGACGCAACTATAAAAACCAAGAAGCTTTGATTGTAACAACTGTTGTTACTCTTATAACATATTTTAATAATAAAAATAGTTTTAACTTACCCATGGATAAATATCATCCAAAGAGATGACCCCATGTTGCAACAATAAAGCTATTATAGTCATTAAAGAAGGTGGTTCCTTATAATTTTCAAGTACCTCCATATTTCCAAGTTTAAAACCCAAAACTTCGGATATAACTTGTGGATCAACCATGTAATTTTTAATAAGAGATATAAACAGTTTATCTAGATGAGGTCTAGCTTCAAAAGATTCTAATATTATGTCTAGAACCCTGTTTGGATCTAAATTAAAACAACCTGCAAGGATACAAGAGTTAATAAAACTATAGACAAGACACAATTGGAATTATTATAATAACTACATACCTATTAAAGATTGAATTATTTCTAATAGTGTTTTCCATTCTGTGTCTTCTGTGATTTCCTGATTTAATTCTACAATTAACTTTGCATATCCTTCACTTTCCTCTCTAAACAAATTAAACTTACGTTGTTTGTAACTAGAAAGTGAAATAAACATTAGTATCAATTGTTTTGAACACATTTTAACTTTAAAAAAATTATTGAAGTACTTACTATAACTTGGTTTTTATTTTAATAAACTTAGTATAAAAGTTTTTATTTTTCAATGTCCCAACATCTTGTAAAGTGTCAATTTCAAGTCGCTCCTTAAGTAATTTATCAGATATAAAAGATTCTAATTCTCTGACTATGTAACAAAAGTTTGTTCTGTCTTCACTTTGCACATCTGTGCAAGTTTCTGCATCAAGTATGCATGTAACATCTAAGATTATTGAGGGTATGTCGGCATGTAGAGTCTAAAAAAAGAATTATAATTTACAAAAATAGGAAATAAACCAATGAATATAAAAAAAAAAGATTGATAAACAGCAATACTGTCAGATACAATCATTTACATACAAGCTTCCATCAAACTAAAAAAAAAATTACATAAAAATTGCTTACAGTAATATCATGAAGTATAGCTACAACAGCATCCTTCTTCAAGTTACCGCGAAGACCACAAAGCAATACATCATATATGCTTTGTGACAACCCTGACAACTTTCCTGATTTACTAAACAATGGGGTTTTCCCTTCATCTTTAACATATTGAGTAACTGTTTTAATACTGAAAATAAAATTTACACATGATTATTGTATATGAAACAGATACAAAAACTTACTATTACAATTGAGAAAGTGAGATGGATGGATGGATGTTACAAGGTACTTTGGAGGTGAAGGAAAACATACACATATTGGCGAAGAAGGTTATAGATATGTGTGAAGTCAACCAACCGGCAATGGGCCAGGGTGGTTGACCAAGGCCTAGTCACCCCTAACTTAGGGTAGACTTCGACCCTTTCAGTGGAGACATAGTCTACTGGTGATGGTGATGATGATGATGATGACAATGTTAGACTTTAGATAGCCACTTTTTGAAGTATTTTCACTAAGAATAACTATTAAATACCAAACATTGGATTGTCATAAAACAATAATTACTTTTTCATATGAAACGACAAATAATGACTTAAATTAAAGCACATGCTTAATGTTTTATATTTCCCTTTTTTTACTACCTGTTCTTAGAAAAAGAAAAGTGTACTTGTCAAGATTGTCGAAGTTATGAAGACGTATCTGTGTCAGAATTCAACATAAGGAAGTGCAAATTTTGATAAACAACTGAATTTAAGTATATAATAATATTGAAGGACTAATATTCAATCAACTAGTATTTGAATTTGCGTAAATATCGTAAATCAATAATAAGATTATATTCCAATGCTACCTTTTTTATGATAAATATGTTAGAAGATAAACATATGCTTCTACGATTTCCAGTGGTAGAATTGTAGAGATAAAAGATTCTTGGATGTAGTTAAATATATGCGTACTACGAGTACCCATTCATAAACTATACAAACATGTGGTAAGGGGAGATAAAATTGTCTAAAAATTACTTACAACTGTTCTTTTCCTGATTTCTCCCATGTCTTGCAATAGTCAGACACAAATTTCTGGTAGGTAGTCATATTCTTAAATATTGTCAATTATATTACATTCATAACAAGTTTATAGATAAGCATAACATACATACGCCGCAGCCATGGCAGTTCACCATCATTTAAAATGTCATGTCAACGCCATATCAACCTAAAAATGCCTGTTACAGATAACTTAGTTTTAAAGATGAATGTAACTTGCTCTAGTTTTGGAATATCCGTTTAATCGAAACTTAGCGAAAAAGGAACGATTAACCTTAACAATATTAATATTTTTTCAAATATATAACTAAAACTATAATTACCGAATACATTACAGTTTAGACTTTTGACCACAGATTACAGGTGTTTTTAAAACCGTTCGAAAAACTGGAAATAGATTAAAAAAGATATGTTGTCTTTGAACTTCAGCTTTCAAACGACCGCAAAGATGTTTATTAGTTTATCGCCCAACAAATAATGTTAATACATTTTTTATTGCTTAATTTACAAAAAGCCAAGTATTCTGTTCAAAACATCATAAGCCCATATGGAACCAAACGTAAAAAAACAACAGTCGTCCTTTTATTTTTTTGACATGGCTTAATAGTCTTGTAACCAGGCCATAAAAATAATACCCAGTACACACTTGGCCAGTACAGTTAGACAGTTGAGACAGCAAGCGCCACTTATTGGCGCCTGTTTGCGTTCACAGTCAGCCAGGTAAAGGACGGGTAGGGTGTAGGCGTGAGTCGTTACGTCATTTTCGAGAAACGTAACGAAACTAGTGATTTGTTCGGCGTCACATGTTTCAAA